TGACTGAATGATTTTTGCTTATTAATTTTATCACCCACGAAAAATATGATTCAAATGAGCTGTTAAGTAGTTTTTAAAAATTTGAGTCATGTAAATTATAATGTTATAAAAATTGCTTAAATGTATTTGTTACTTGCAGTAAAATCAATAAAACAATTTCGTATCGTAATTGCAGTATTATTTACTATTCATTTTTACTATAGCCTATTATTATAGTATTTATGAATGTTGAATATATTTCTATATTTTCCGTTTTCATTATAATTTTATGTGCTTTTGTCAGTTTTTAGTTTTTTAATGTTTTTTAATTTATTCGTTTTTAGTACTTCAGCTAATTTCATTTCAGTTAGTTTCCAATGCAACATTTCTAATCTAATACATTTTTATTTACTTCACCTTTATTTTAATTATTAAAAAAGTATAGGTATCAATAACAATCAATAACAACACTGGTTTTGTCTCTTATTTTTAAGGAATGTATGATCTACACAAAATCAGTTCTGAGAAGTAATTAATGCAAATTTACCCTTCTGTACACGTACGTATTTGGCGCCAACCTTTTATTAATCTTAATTAAACCTCACCGATTAATACAATCTTTCAGACTCTTATCTTTTAGCGCCCTCCTATGGCATCTAGTGTCTATTCCAACACGAATGACGCTTATAAAACTTGTCATAAAGCCGGTGTTCCGGTGAATTCAGTTTCCGTGTTTCCCCCTCACAGTATTGAGTATGGAGGACGAAACCTGCAAAAACAATAAATAAATAAATATGCAAATAAATAAATAAATGTGTGTATAAATACACAAATTCTTGTTTAAATACATATAGAAATAATTAAGCATGTGATTAAAGTAGGGAAATAAATAAAATAAATTGGTGGGCAAATGGAAAATGTTTAAGGAAATGCTAAACTCATCCTATTTATTTTACTCTGATCACTTATTTATTTCTGAATGTAGTTCTCAATTTATTTTTCCTCTGCACAACATGCTAATGAGAGGGTGTCAACCATGGACTTGGTCGGGTCTTGTGATAGCTGGGGGCGCGGCTTTCCCGCTGACAGTTTACATATGACATTGGTAGGCTATACACTTTTCTAACTTCAATAGCATTTGAGGAAAATTACTTACAGTAACATAACCAACTGTGAAGTGTTCATGTAGTTCTCAGTTATAATGCACACCTTTTAGATTTTTGAAATCAGGTACTAGTTTTTTCCCATTAGTTATCAGAACAGAAAATACAGGCGACAAAAGTATGTTTATTAAGCAAATAACGGTTCAGTATTGCAATTAAGAGCTATGTGAGCATTAATATTTTACATTGGCCACTTAAAATCTTTTATGATTTAGCTCTCTCATGATTATAACTACAAAACTAACCCTATGAAAAAGTGTAAGATAATAATCAGTCACCTTGACTGATGAAGTCAATACGCATACGCAGGCAAACGCTCAAGCGCGTCACACACGATCCGCCTACTCTTACATAATTGACACCCTCTCATTAGCATGTTGCGCAGAGGGGGGAAAATGTGGAACTACATTCAGAAATAAATGAGTGATCAAAGGAAAATAGTTAGGATGAGTTTAGCATTTCCTTAAACATTTTCCATTTGCCCACCAATTTATATCATTTATTTACCTACTTTCATCACATGTATAATTATTTATTTATGTATTTAAACAAGAATACGTGTATTTATGCACACATTTATTTATTTATTTGTGTATTTATTTATTTATTGTTTTTGCAGGTTTCGTCCTCCATACACTGATGCTGCAGACACTGAATGTTTTTACATTAATGTTCTGTACAGGGCACACTGACGCTGCAGACACTGAATGCTTTTACATTAATGCTCTGTACAGGGCACACTGGCGCTGCAGACACTGAATGTTTTTACATTAATGTTCTGTACAGGTCACACAGACGCTGCAGACACTGAATGTGAAAAAAAAAGTACACTTCTTTACCCTGGAGAAAAACGTAAGGAATTGCAAATGTTTACCTCAAAGTTCGTAATTATGTTTGCAGTTTTAACTCAAATTACGGTTTTGTGAGCAATAATGACTAGGCTACTCAATTAATGTCATTTCTTTTTCATTCATACTCGTCGCCGGAGGGCGCCCTCGCGCAGAATCTCCACAAGTGAGACTCACTGATGATGTTCCAGGAAATCCAGCTTTCGCTGTAGGACGCTGCAGACACTGAATGTGAAAAAAAAAGTACACTTCTTTATCCTGGAGAAAAACGTAAGGAATTGCAAATGTTTACCTCAAAGTTCGTAATTATGTTTGCAGTTTTAACTCAAATTACGGTTTTGTGAGCAATAATGACTAGGCTACTCAATTAATGTAATTTCTTTTTCATTCATACTCGTCGCCGGAGGGCGCCCTCGCGCAGAAACTCCACAAGTGAGACTCACTGATGATGTTCCAGGAAATCTGACTAGTAATTATTGCAATAGCGACTAGTATCTATTTAAATATTACTAGTAAGCATTCATTAGATACTAGTACTTATTTTTTAGATACTGGTACTTATTCATTAGATACTAGTACCTATTTAATAGATACTAGTAGTTATTCATTAAGTACTAGTATCTTTTGTAATTACTACTAGTAACAATTCTTATTTTACTGGTCAGATCTGCTTTTTTACTTGTCTGATGTTATGACTAGTCCAAATGGCTACTGTAGAGTTCAATTAAAAAATTTACTAGTAAAATAAAAAATCATACTAGTAACATTTCGAATAAGTACTAGTATCTAATAAATGTGTACTAGTATCTATTGAATAAGTACTAGTATCTATTTAATAAGTACTAGTATCTAATGAATGAGTACTAGTTTCTAATAAATAAGCACTAGTACATAATGAATAAGTACTAGTATCTAATAAATAAGTACTAGTATCTAAAAAATAAGTACTAGTATCTAATGGACAATTACTAGTATCTAATAATAAGTACTAGTACCTGATGAATAAGTACTAGTGTCTATTTAATAGGTACTAGTCTCTAATGAATGAGTACTAGTATCTAAAAAATATGTACTAGTACCTAATGAATAACTACTAGTGCATAAAAATTAAGTACTAGTCACTAGTGGAATACATACTAGTCAAAACTGAATAGTTGATATCTCAATGACGGATCCCCATAGAAGTCAATGGCAAAAATTATATATTTTTTTTACTAGTAACAATTTAATAGTTACTATAGTCACTATTAAAGTATAAAGTACTAGTATCTATTGAATAAGTACTAGTATCTAATGAATAAGTACTAGTATCTAATGAATAAGTACTAGTACCTAAAAAATAAGTACTAGTACCTAATGAATAAGCACTAGTACCTAATGAATAAGCACTAGTATCTAATGAATAAGTACCAGTATCTAACAAATAAGTACTAGTATCTAATGAATATGAATAAGCACTAGTACCTAATGAATAAGCACTAGTACCTAATGAATAAGCACTAGTACCTAATGAATAAGCACTAGTACCTAATGAATAAGCACTAGTACCTAATGAATAAGTACTAGTATCGAATGAATAAGTACTAGTATCTAATGATTAAGTACTAGTAACTTTACAAAAAACACTAGCACGTAAAAATAAGCACTAGTAGCTAAAGAATAAGCACTAGTACCTAATGAACAAGTACTAGTACTTAATGGAAAAGATACTAGTATCTAAAAAATAGGTACTAGTACCATGAAAATAGATACTAGTACGGCTTATAGATTAAATGTTACAACGGCTTTCCATAGACCGTAAACCCTAGAGATGGTTGTGCGTGAAAATCCCAGTAGATCAGCAGCTTTTGAAATACTCAGACCTGCCCGTCTGGCACCAACAACCATTCCATGTTCAAAGTCTTCCCCATTCTGATGCTCGGTTTGAACTTAGCAATTGCATTGTATTGCTCTTTTGTTGGTTTTGTTTGCTTCTGTTGTCCTCATTTGTAAGTCGCTTTGCATAAAAGCGTCTGCTAAATGAATAAATGTAAATGTCTTTAATAATAAATGATCTACTTAAAATTACCACCATACCAATACAAGTGATCGGCGTTATTTCAAAGGACATTTAAACTATCTCTGATTTTTCTTATATTGTGTTTTATTGTATATTGTACTCTTTATTGTGCATAACTATGCATGTGTTCTTTAGCTCCGGAAAGAATATGCGGAAGTGACCGTGCATATTGGATGTAATATTCTAATGTTCCAAATATAATTGTTTGCGCTCTACTTTAACACTGGATTTTGCTATAACCATAAATATTTGACTGAAACTTGTCTATTAATACCTGTTTGGAGGAACTTTAACTTTGAAATGTTTTAACTGTTGCCCCGCCTTCTACTTCTCTCTAGCTGTGTCTCATTCAGAAGGCTGCGTCCTCCGGAGGTCGCATTCGAAGGCTGCATACGTCATCGAGGCTGTCTCATTTCAGAAAAGCAAGTAGGACACTCCGAATGCGACCTTCTTTCACAGGAATTCGGAGGGTGCATGAGGTGTATCCTTCGCTGCTACAGATAACCCACAATTCTTTGCGTCGCCGTGAACAACCGTTGTTAATTTGAAAAATGCCGGCGCCGGCAGATGTAACGTACACACAAGCGCAGATGTGGTGTTTACAACTTACCTTAATTCGCCTCGGTAAAAACAGATAAACTTTGTTTTTAATAACCTTCTCCTTTTTTCTCTAATAGATGCCTCCTGTATGTATGATGCAGCTCCTCAAACATTGAACAAAATAAAACAAGTAAAACCTTTTTTTTTTTATTTTTTATTACTTTCCAAATTTAGAAATAATTTTCCTTCATTTAAGTAGTGTGAGTGCAACGATGCTCTAAATGTGTTGGCATAGCAACGTGATACTTCCGGTTTCCTTTTCCGCCTGTCCTACGAAGGCCGTCTCGTTTAATTCTTGGTTGAGGACACTTCGTATATGCATCCTACAGAGGATGCGACCTCCAGAGGATTCGACCCCCGGAGGGTGCAGCCTTCTAAATGAGACACTATGGTATCGTGCTGGGAAAACGGGAAGGAACATTACAGTGCTTTGCGAGTTACCCATCGCGTGTTGGGAGTGGCGTGTGCCACAGATTGCGAAACGTGATTAGTAAACAGTTTGCCAGAATATACCCCGACCCAGGAGTTGGTATCCAGTGTGAACACTACTTCGTAATATACTGGCAGGGAACCACTTTTCTCAGGCCTCTGGGAAAAATCTGTTCCCCCTGTGTTTTCAGTGTAAAGTGTTCTGCAGATAAAAGTGGTTAGACGTAATTATGACAGCAGCAGAGAAGAGCACATGTGATATGGGATTTCATGTCTTTTTCTATGTACCCAATGTAATCGGTGAGTGAGAGTAATTATTACGTGACATCTGTGTATTTGTTGCAGCAGCAGAATTCGTTTTAAAGAATCAAAAATATTGGATCACTCCAACTACATTTATGACATAGCCTATATTTAATCAGTAAATGGACTCTAATTATGGTATTATTTGTAATGCAAAATGTTTCTTTTTATAGGTTATATCCGGATTCTTCTTGTTCTCATTGCTTGGATTCTGTATAGTGACCCAGGGAGTTTTGTACCCTTGTATGTGTTATCAATTATATTGGATGGTAGGTAAATACATGAAAGCTAGGGAAATTGTAAATACATACACTATTAATGGTTCTTTATTAGCATATTTTTCCATGAAGAACCTTTAACATCCATGGAAACTTTCTATTGCACAAAAGGTTTTATTATTACTCAAATGTTCTTCACAAAAATAAGAATATATATACATATATATATACACACAATACATATACAGTGGTGTGAAAAAGTGTTGGCCCCGCTTCCTGATTTCTTATTTTTTTGCATGTTTGTCACACTTTAATGTTTCAGATCATCAAACTAATTTAAATATTAGTCAAAGACAACACAAGTAAACACAACATGCAGTTTTTAAATGAAGGTTTTTATTATTAAGGGAAAACAAAATCCAAAACTACATGGCCCTGTGTGAAGAAGTGTTTGCCCCCCTGTTAAAACTGTGGTTTATCACACCTGAGTTCAATTTCTCTAGCCACACCCAGGCCTGATTACCGCCACACCTGTTCACAATCAAGAAATCTCTTAAATAGGACCTGCCTGATAAAGTGAAGTAGACCAAAAGATCCTCAAAAGCTAGACATCATGCCGAGATCCAAAGAAATTCAGAAACAAATGAGAAAGAAAATAATTGAGATCTATCAGTCTGGAAAAGGTTATAAAGCCATTTCTAAAGCTTTGGGACTCCAGCAAACCACAGTGAGAGCCATTATTCACAAATGCCAAAAA